CCCGAGCTCGGCACGGCACGGCACAGCCCGGCACGGTGCAGTGCAGCATGGCACAGTGCAGCACGGCACAGCACAGCCCGGCACGGTGCAGTGCAGCATGGCGCGGTGCAGCATGGCATGGCACAGTGCAGCACGGCACAGCACAGCATGGCGCAGCACCAGCCGGGAGCCCGCGGGGTGACGCGGAGGCGCCCCATGGCACAAGCCCAGCCAGGGCTGTGTCTCGAGCTACCGGGGAAGCCGGCAGCAGCAAGAGCTGGCGGAGAAGTGTGCAAGGCCGGCAGGTGAAAGCCCCTCTGCGCTAGACGTAGCGCGCAGCAAGGGACGCCCCGTGCCTCTGCTTCTTCACTTCTGAACACGGAAGGGGAAAAGGAAGATTATTCCCATTTGATTGCTGGGCAGCAACATCCTGCAGAGGGGCAGGGACGGAGCCAGGAGCAAAGCTGCAAGGGGCAGAGAGGTCCGGGTCGGCCGTGGGGGTGCGGGAAGCTTCTCCCCCAGCCCCGCAGAAGGGCCCCTTAGCTCGTGCCTCCTGCGGCACCTCCCTGGCACCTCTCCTATGCTAATCCCGGAGAGCAGATGCGAAGCAGTGTGCTGTTAAGTTTTAAGGCTAGAGAGAGGTTTTGTTTCCAGGCAGTGAATTATTCATCCCCCAGCCTGAAGTCCCAGCCACTTTGCTCCTTTGGGCCCTGCCGCGAGTGCCAGGGCAGCAGGTGGGTTTGCAGAGACGCAATTACAGTAATGGAAAGGCAGGCAAAGGCTGAGTGACCCGACTTCCTCACCGCCCTCGGCACCATTACTGGTGTCACGTTTAACATGCAGTTAGAGCAACACGGAGCTCCCCTCCCGCAAAGCCGACACAACCACAGCAACGCAGAGGCAAGGGCAGAGCTTTGCTGGAAGAGGAAACTCAAAAGCGCTCTAGCACTTTGCACCAGAGAGCCAGCACCTAGCAGCAAAGCCCCTGCCGGGCCCAGTGACCACAAAGCCCGCAGCAGCACCTGGCTTTAGGGAAGAGGTGCCCAGCGTCTGCGCCCGACTCCAGCCCCCGTCACCATCTCGGGTAGCAACAGCGAAAGCTACTACGACCGGAGTCCCTGCACCACCACCACAATTAGTCAGGGATGTTGAGTTGTTCTTTAGTTAATCCCTTTTTCAGCACACCTTATGTTTTCCACTTCCAGCAAGTTTGACAAGCCAGTTTTGTGCCGCATGAAAGAGCGGTCCCTTGAGTCTGCCTAAAGCTGTAACGGCTCTCCTCCCTGCAGAAATCCCTCTTCCAGGACAGAATCCTTTTTACCCTCCTCAGCACCTTTTCTGGCTGTACAGCATTGACAAACCGAGCACAGGCACAGCAGCTACTCGTACCCCAACGCAGGCACAGCGCCTATTTCCGTTGTAACACAATGCAGCTTTCTATTCCGTACTGCATCCCTCTCTGAATAACTTGCGGACTGCAGATGAATGCTGACCTCTTTTTTCAAGAAATTATTAAGAAAGGCTCCACGTGCTCATCCCTGCGCAGCAGTAGTTTGTGTGCAAGCCGTCACTACAGAGTCACCGAACAGCTGGGGTTCAAAGGTACCTCTGGAGACCGTCTGGTCCAACCCTCTGCTCAAGCAGGGTCAGCTGGACCATGTCCAGTCAGGGTTGGAGCATCTCCAAGGCTGATGGAGGCTCCACAACCTCTCTGGGTAACCTGTTCCAGTGTTCAGCCACCCTCACAGAATA